TAAATACGAGTATGTACGACAAGAATAAGACTAGCACTCCTTACTTCTCCAATCGAAGTTATCGTACTTTTAACTTTTTACCACAATTCTTTTGCATTTCTCCATCGCAGCTTTAAGCCCATCTGTTGTTATATTTATCAGTAACGTCAAAATAAATAGTATTGCACATAGGTATAGGATGCATAAGCAATGAGAACAAGAAGAACAGATGGATGAAAACTGTAGACGAATGAGATACTTCATCTGCGAAAACCATCCCAACATACATCTCCGCAATTATAGGATAATTTCCCGCAAATCTGTAATTAATATTTCTAGCTATTCCATCCGTGTGTGTCAACGAACCAAAGGAAAGCTTGTTACAAGCTGACATAGATATACCTTTATTCCACGCCTGCGGTGATATACGCTCGGATGCTTTTTAGGGGGTAGTGTACAGTGATTCAGCTGATGCACACATTATGCACACAGTGCGCGTCTCCTGCACAGCTAGCAAAGCTCGACCAACGACGTCGCTGGTGCGCGACGCAGCTTGCGTAACGTACACGCACGCACGCACGCCGCAACGCCACGCCGGCTGACCCACATGCGTGGTCTTTATTTAAACTGGTTTCCTCCTTGGCGTCCTTTAGACCCGACTTTCGTCTGTGCTCCGGCGGTCGCCGGGTCACCGGATTCGAGCGCGTCATTTTCCGCGAGACTGCGCGCAGCTCGGGAAAGGTCGGCTTGTATATATAAATATATATATATATATTTGTGTGTCTCGTAAAAAAAAACCATCCGATTAGTTTATGATTCGAGACGACGTTGTGCATGAAGAAAATAAAAAGGTTTCTCTTACAAATTTCCCTTTTTGTAATATTCTTAATATTTTTAGTAATTTTCTTTTTTCTAGGATTTAAAGTTCATTAAAATAAACTTGTAATATTCTCTTCACGAAATACTTGACACGTATACTACTTTATTTCATCTTTAGTAATAATTTTATTGATAGCATTTTTATTAATTTTACTGCAATTTTTAGAATGATGTCACAAATGTCTTTTTATAATAATACACGATGTTAGGGGAAAACGACGGAAGTAATTGCGGAATCATCTCTTTGCGCAGACCACGGTGAAGTTCGAATTCGTTCACGGTAGACTTATAGAACCGCGAAAATATCAATTGCAAATGCCCGTCGACTTTGATACCGAAGGGAATAACGAGAGCTCCCGAGACGAGCGTTTTTTAAGCATCAACGCGATCTCGTCGAATATTCTTGTTTCTCAAACGTATGTAAAGTTTGAATAATACAGCACAGAGAGAAGGCGAAGAGGTAGCGCGCAAAAAGGAGCAACACGGAATAAAAATGCACCGTTACGTTTCTATCGATCGTGGCACTTTCGTAACGACGTCATAGACAGACTTCGAGATCTCTTCGGAGTAAAAGTAACGATACAAAGATATTATTTGTAGCACAATAAATATACACCATTTATTTTACAAATCCATTGAAATTTTATAAATCCATTGAAATGTTAATGCGACGAATGTATTTCATCTAATTACATTTTAATATCAATCGCAATTATTTTTTTTTATTTCACATTATAGCGGCGCTTAGTTAAACAATTTTATTTTTTTAAATACGGGGGGAGGGGGGAAGAAATTTAATAAAAAATATTGAATTATAATAGATTTTATTTAAAAAAAGATAAGATTTAAAAAATATATCTCCATCCCTTAAAGATTAACGTTATCTTCATCAAGATTTTTCGATTGCAAGCCATAAGCAATTGCGAAAGACATTACCGGAAAATTCTAATCGCTAATCTTTGTTAGCACTTGTCTCGTGTCTCAACTTTTGTTCCGATTAGCATGCATATTACTTAAAATATTCAAAGACAGATCGGATACTCCTCTCAATTACGCGTAATACTACGGATATACTCAGACAACATCGTAATACGAGCGCGCGTATCAGATTTCGCATCTCCTAATCGAACGAGCATTGCAAGCGTTGCTTTATTTCTAGCTGTTTGCACACTATCATAAGACAACCTGCTTTTATATTATGAGATAGATGGTATAATTTGATTATGGAAAAACAATAGATACTTTCCTT